CAAGGTAAATTTACCTTCTTGGGTAGTTGCTCTATTCTTTTAGTTAAGGTTTCTTGAGTTGTTTATGGGTTTCTTGTACAAGAGAATTGTTTGTATAAAGGTGTTCTTAAAATTACCAAAAAAGGCAATTTTTTAGAAACTGATGGTTTTACGGAAAGAGTTTTTTTTTTTAATTAATAATTAATAATAAATTAACATAGTCAAATAAACTTATTAATATAATTAATTAATTTTTTTTAAAAAAATATAAATATATTTTTTAATATTAAATAATTCTTTACTTAAAAGTTTATACTAAAATGTACTTATATAATAATAAACTGGTATGTATAGTAATATATTTAGATATTTAGATATTTAGATATTTATTATATAACAAAATATTATTTTACTATATTAATAAAGATCATAAGAAATGTTTTACTTAATATTTTAAAAAAATTAATTATAAATCAAATAAAATTTTAATTAAATTTAAACTAAATTCAAAGATATTATTTTATTTGATAATAATTCAAAAAAGACATTTTACAAATTGAATAAATCAATTTTTGTTGTAATTTCTAAATAATATATATTTTTTTTCAATTATTAAAATTTGAAATTATTTAAAAACATATTTAAAGAATTTATTTTTTTGTAATTATTATAATGCTGTATGTATTTGTATTATCATTTTATTATAATCATGAGATTTGTATTGAATGATATTAAAAGGACAATTTTTACATTTATATTCAAAAATATTATATTTGCAATGAATATAATATATTGATATTTGAATATGCAAATATATTTTTTTAATATAATGTTTTTGTTAAAAAAAAATAATAGAATTAATTAAATTTGTTGATTGATTTAAAAACAAGTTATATAAAATTTTTTAAAAACGAAATCTTAATATTATTCAAGATTTTTAGAATCTTGTTGTTTTCATCTATATGAGTGCTTGCATCTTTTAAAAACACAAATTGGGCTTAGTTATACCATCCAATATTTGTAATTCGCCGATCAGAGTTTAAATTGACCCGATTTTCCATTCCAATCTGGTTTTCGCATCGATCATGACATAGTTAGAACGGTGAACTATCGGGGTAACTTCCATTCTCAATATCTAATTCTTAGGGGAAAAAAAGAAAGAGAGAAAGATAACATTCAACCTGGAATTAGTCGAGTGAGTCGTTTAGATTACAAGATAATTCGTTTTGTATCCAAACAAATACGATATAAAGAACGCAAGCAGGTTTCGAAAGTTAATTTGTATGTAACAAGATCCCGATCGAGAAAGATTTCAAAAAAAAAAAAAATTTTTTTTTTTTACATCTCACATCTTGTGATATGAAGATCGTGCAGAAATAGAAAGGGAATACTCGATGGAATTTGTAAACACAACAACAATCCTGTAGAATGAGTACCCCCTTTTGGATATATATAAATGAATATAAGTGAACCGAATTTTATATTTATTCATACACGCGGAAGTGCATCGAAAAGAAGCGACCTTTAAAAAAAATTTGAAAATCGCTGATTTCGAACTCAACCAAGAAGTCCTTTAATTTTCACCGAAAGAGAGATAACGGTGTGACTGAAATTTTTCGCAAGAGAAAACAAGTGATGAATTTTTATAAAACAATCACATGCAAATGTCTCAAAGTTTCTGGACCTTGCATTTTTGCGCTTTTCTGATAGTGGCTGTGGGTATTTATTTATTATTTGGTTGATGTAGAGAATCAGGCTCACGGTCTTCCATAAAGAGAGTTTACACTATCGACAAATGGGCATGATTAATTTTCAAAACCTGTAAATTAACGGGAATTCGAATCTTTGCATTGACGCGTAATAGCTAATGCAATATGGATTTTCAAGTTCGAATGGACATTAGAAAATCTTTACCTAGGTGCTAAGAAGTCGTTTCGGGAAATAATTTATGCAGGATAGTGACTTGTATAGAGTTAATATTAGCATAAATAAAGTTTGTAATATCTTATATAAGTATTACAAATTCTTAGGGAATCTACATAAAAAATGGTTCAGTCTTATTGGATAACTTTTTTTTCCATATCAATATCGATACGAAAATCAATATAAATAGCTGTCTTTGGCTGATCGACATAGGAAGGTTTCCACTTTTTCTTAACATTGCATCTTTTTCGCGTTTATTTCTTTTGCAATTTAGACACATTCCGTGCAAGTTTTTTTATTACGAGTAATTTGAACAATCACCCTTTCATAAAGTAAAATCATAAATAGCACGTATGCAAAATAAAGCATCTCTTCCACCGATCAGATTTCTTCTTGACTCACCTATCGACGAAGGCGATGGTAAGATTACAGTCACGAAGGTTATTTTGGTTGCATTGATTCTAATAAAATTTTGACACTCATTAGGATATCCATTTCCACAAACACCTACGTCACCAAATAACACACATGCTTATCAACAACGAAACCTTCCATCCATAAAGTCCGCGGATACAGACCACCTCGCTGCAATTAATGCCTATAACAAGAATATTATGAATTTTTCCACTAAAGATTCTTATGGTAGTTGTAATTCTCTGATTTCACCCCCGGAATCACCTGGTGTTAAAATGATGCATCAACAGTTACCTTCTGGTTCTTATGACTCGAGACAAGAAATTAGACACAATACTCTTCTTCATCCCCCACCACCATTGTCCCTTCCATCTTCATCCTCGCGACAACAGTGTAGTTGCTGCGTGGGACCTTCATCCGTTCAATCGGTAACAACATCGTTAGAAAATAATCAGTATTTTCGACAGGATGAACAATATAGTACCTTCGCTCAAACCTCTTTGCCGTACGATTGTCATTCACCAGTGATTTCACATTTTTACCCACGTTTAAGTATAAATTTACTCGAGGGCATGAATTTTGACAGTAATTCTTCTTCTCGAGGTCTTTGTGGTCAAACTTTAAATGAATCTTCCAATGGAAGTCGTTACCAATGTCCTTTTTGTACGAAGAGATTTTCGCGACCAAGTTCTCTCAAAATCCATACTTACTCTCATACAGGTGAAAAACCTTTTGTTTGCACCGAACCGGGATGCGGGAGAAAATTCTCCGTGCAAAGTAATATGCGACGACACCTTAGGGTCCATCGCTTGGGAAGACCTATCAAGTAAAAAACGGCTTGATACATTTTAGCATATAGTATTATTATTCAAAAATAAATTTTTTTACACCGGGACTATTTATGTTACGAGTGAGCAAGAGGCACGCCTCGATCAAAACCCGGAGAGAAATCCGTCGAGAGCCATTGATATTTCAAGCCATGCATCTGTGTAGATCATGTTTATCTTTTGTAATATAATGTGTAGTGATTTTTCCTTTTTTTTTTTCTGGAATCATTAGTTATTAGAAATAAATCTTTAATTAAAAAAAATGATAATATAATAAAATTAATTGATATTATATATCTATCATATTTAACTTCGAACTTGAATGTTTCTTCTTGGGAGCGACCAAACGCTAGGTTAAATTTCACATATAACTCGAATTCAGAAAAACTTATACAAGGTTCTTTCGAAATTACAAAAATCACGCAAATCGCATGTATGTACAAAATTTGTAATTTGTGATTATTTTCTCAACGAATGTTTACACTTTGGGTAACGTGAGAATGCAGGGAATGCACGCCTCCGTGTTACCTTCACCTTATCGTGACCTGCAATGCATAACGCTAGCGTTAACCTTTGCCTTTTTCATTTTCTTCACTGCCACACCCCAAAAGGTCATGATTAATTTTAATCCAATGTGCTTTAGCGATCCTTATCAGAGATATCTCTTTGTTAACATTATTTACGTGAAGGCTCACGATAAAAAGATCCCTTTTTTTTTTCGTGAGGCATTTTCATAAGGGAAACAATAACTTGTCTAAAATTAGAAGGCAGCTAACCTCATTTCCTTCATTCAAATATCATTACGATTTTTTCTTTATTCCTTTATTTTGTTCCGTTTTTTTTTTTTCGCGACCATATAAAGGCTGGCAGCGACAACAAGGAAACATTAAAGAAAATCGCACCATATCGTGATAGAAACTTCTTCAATTTTGAGGCTTAACTCCAAAAATTCTGTAATTTGAAAATAATCAACAAACAATAAAACAGAGAAATGTGGTCAAAATGAATTTACCTGTGGGACATAGCATAGGTTTTATGCTCATCAGTTTCACGGGTGGAGATCTCAAGATATTCTTCAATAGTCATTTTAACACTTTTCACCAAACGCTCCATTACAGGTGTAACTACTTGAATATGAGATTTGTATAACAATTCTCCGAGTTTTCCTCCCCAGGGGCCTATTGGAAGAGACTTGGATATGATTTGCATATTCTGAACGTTGCTTTCTTTCAATAATTCCGCAATTCTGGTGCTCATTATTATGCTAATTCCACGTTTTTGTAATTGATCTGTGACTGATAATTTATTTCGTGTATGAACCGTCAGTTGAAATTTGATAAATCGTGCAGTAGTTTCGTAAAAAAATTACTACATACCAATTTTCGTAACCTGACCAGTTTTGGGACCTAAAGAAAACCAAATTAAATCAAACTCCTAATTTAATAAGGAATATCTATAATTACTAGAATTTCATGTATAATTCTAATTTTATCAAAGAAAACCATCAACCTACCATTAATTCAATCCAGCCCCCTGGCTTCAAAACTCTTAACAGCTCAGGAATTACCTTCTCTTTCCATTGAACATCTGTAAGACAGACACCCAAGAACCTTTGGTATACAAAATCAAACGAATTGCTTTCAAACGGCAATCCGTCAAGCAAGTTTGCTTTGATAAAGGTTGCATTTGGAGGACGTACGCTTTCTCCTGGGAAAGTATCAGATATGTCAATTCCAACGTACGAATTCTTTGGATAATCTTCCGCCAAGTCCATAATGAATGCACCACTGCCACAACTTTTTTGGTGAATGATTTTGGATCGTGATTAACATTTGCAATCGGGAGATGATTATTTACCATTATGACATACCCAACATCTAAAACGCGGCAATTCCCTTCTGAAAGTCTTTTGTGCATTGGCGCCGTGAAATTGCCTTCCCATGCATACCGAACTAACTTATGCTGTAAATCTAACCTCGAAACTTCCTAAAATGTCAAGAAATTATTCATCTTTTCTGGATGACCTGAGTTCTTATCACGAGTCTTACCTCCTCATCATTAGGCAAAAAGTAATCGACGCCTGGGACATTATGATACCTTCTACCATTGACGTATCGATAAGTATTAAGGATTTCCGAATCATCGTTTAAGTTAAACGGCGACAATGGATGGTTATTATTGTTTTCCATATCTTTTTAGGTTCATTCATGGCAAAGATAGCACATTATATACATGGCTTCCTGACCACGTTATTTATGCACAATATTTGGACTTGTATCATGCACGGCCGAATTTTCGACAATATTTATGTATCACTAATTTTTGAAAAATCAGCTTTAAATCAGGTCGATTCTGGGTAGCAGGAAGCATGCATTATTCTATTGATGGGTATAGGATTCTGATTCGATTCTAATACTGCATTGTATACCATGAACAATATTTATTGACTTGAAAACAAACAAACAATATTGATTGGTTCTACCGAAGATCACCGCATGAGGATGATTTAAGAAAAAGTTTAGACCGGAATAACGCGGACGAATACAAATGTTGACAAAATTTGTCAAGTTCGGGATTCAATTTCCTCCTTAGTGTACGAATCTTATACCGCATGTCGGAAAGAAAATTGTCACTTCGGTGTAACTGAGAATAGCTAAAAATAAAAACGGAAAAAATATACTTATTTATTTATTTATTGTTTAATGATGGCGTATGTTATGTTTATCACTTCATTGTAAAAGGCAAAAAATACATATACTGTATATTAAATAAACAAAGAATTGACGTATTTCAAGATCTTTTAAATTATAACGCGTTAAAAATCATAAGTTTTTTTACAGTATATCAAAACTTTATTAATACTAGGAAACGGAAACCGTTGTGCGTCCGGAGCCCTTATTCAATTAAAAATTAACAATACCAGACCAGCTGTCCATTACTAATTACTTTTCGCATTTAAAACATATAATAATATTTATTATTTTTAATACTAATTTAATGTCCGTGACAAACACTGTTTTAATGTCTAGACTGTAAGTCCTCCACTACATTCCGGACAATAATATAAAAATTCAATCATAATTTTAAAAATCCAAAAAATCGTTTGTCAAAGTTTATTAATATGTTTGTTATGAAACTTTGTTTTAAAATCTTTATTATGGTAAAATATTTTTAAAGAAATTAATTAAAATGTTTAAAAAAAATTTATTATTATTATTATATTTAAATAATACCATTAAATCCATTTTATAATTTTTATTATGAAATTTTTTTAATACTGTATTTATTGTTTGTAAAATCAATTGTTTAAAATTTTTTGAATTCAATTATTTTTAAATTTGTTTTTAATTAAACAAAAATTATGATTTTTTATGATTTTTTTTTAAATTAATTTTCATATAATAATAAAATATGTTTAATATATGATTTATTGATTATTATATTTAATATATTATTTATTGATTATTATATATAAATAATATAACAATAAATTATATTTAATTTATTTTTTTTTTTTAATTTTGCAAATAAACATAAAATGCAAGACTTTATTTACTAAATGATAGTACTGTCATTACATTAAACATCCATTAAGATTAATGCTAGCCTATTGCTTTTTTATCCCAACATATTGACTGCACTTCGTGGATAGATTCACATGTTGGAAGGGAGGTATCAAGAAGATGGAAATCCTGCCTCCAGTTTTAAACCACCTGATCTTGTATCTCCAGTATTGTGAAGATCCAATTGTAATTTAATATGTTAGTCTTCATTAGGTTTCTTTTCACATTCTTACTGTCATCTCACCAATTAATGGTATATATGATCTTATTACTTATATTTTTTAGTAAATGCTCCAAGAGTTATTCCTATAGTTGGTATACACTACCAAATCTGGAGACCTACAGGTCTAGTGAGACGTGACTCCTAAATCCTTCAGTGGACACTCCATAGGCTCTTGATTGGCTTTAGCTACCAAATCTAGGGGTACAAGTATCAAGCAGGGCACAACTTCTGTAAGGTGCCACAGTAGTAGTCTCCATGTATTGATACCATACAGTGGTTTTCTTTAAAGTTGCCTAAGTAGGTTGATATACTTCTTGCTATGGAGTCTGTCATGTCAGTTGGGGTTGATGGCCACAATTTTATCCATATCAATGGTCTGATAACTGATATGGCATGATCCTCCTCTGCCAATCTTTTGAAGAAGGGAAGCTGACTATGGTTTTCAGGTTTATGATAAGGAGAAATGTATATCTACTGACTAAAACATTCAAGAATAAGTTTTTACAAGATAAGCCCACTATTTTAAGTAGGAAGAAACCGTTTCTAGTCTGGTTAAAAATAATAGAATAATGTGGTGTAGTGAGATTTAAAATAAGTAGTTCTAGAGAGAAAAAATCCCAGGAAGAAAGAAAAATCTGCCTAGAGAAAAGGGTAAAGGGAGTTGGGAAAGGAAATAGACGAGTGGATAAAAAAGGAGATTAATTGCACTCAGGCTTGTAATTGCCAAACGTACACAAAGTCTTGCAAAAAAAAAATTAATTGCCTAAGCCTCTCTAGTTCTTGTCTCAGACTACTGACATGCGTAAGCTTGGTCTGCTCACACTTCCCTAAGCAAAAGTGCTTCTTCTAGATGTTGAACTCCAACAGTTAGAAAAGCCTCGTGTAGTGTTAGCACAGCTCAGACTTGACTTGCTTGGGGTTTCATCTTGCATAAAAGAAGAGAAGGGAGAAAGGGAAAAAATTGCTAAAAAAGGAAGTTTTTTGACAAGGTAGAAGTGAGTGGAAAAGAGTTTTTTTTTTTGTCAATATTCTAATCATCAGTTAAAATAATATTTAACAATTATTTTTTGTTTTTATTTTTATTTTTTAATCCTACAATCAGGCCAGAATTATTTATTTATTTAATCAAATAGAGAACCATTATAAGTATAAAAATACTTGCAAAGTATAAATTTCTTTGATCTAGCTCACTTATCAATAGCTAAAGCCTTTAAATGTGATTTATAAGTAAAACATAATTTTTCTATTGAAAAAAATTAAAATCCCAATATTCCAATAGAGTCAAAATTAGTAAATCGTCTTTATAATCACAATTATAAACCTAAATTGTATTACCTTCCTCTTGTAAAAATTATATAAAACAAAAGAAAAATAAATAAAACAAAAAAAAACAACACAATTATATATATATTATATATATATAAAGCAATAAAAAAAAATAAAAAAAACTATTATCTATTCTAATTATTATTAAAAAGATTATATATATATTTATATTTAATTCAAACATTTTTCAAAAATCATATTATGTTTATATTACTAACAATTAATAAGTAATTGGAAATTATATTTAATTCAAAATTATATTGTCAATCAAATTTTCTTTTATAATAATAAAAAAACATATATAAAAAAAGTTATTTTAGTGAATTTAAAACCCAAGTTACTTATGATTTCTTACTTCTTATACCTGTGGTTAGCTAGACTGTTTAATTTTCATTGAAGTAGTCAATGTTCAAAAACATTTAATAGTACTTTCAAAAAAGTATTTCTTAAAATTTTATACTTAAAGACTTCTAATTAGAAGAAATATTGAATTTCTATTGTTGATTTCTCTCCCAAGTCATATTTTTTTAAAATTATTGTTTTACTCAACCAATAAATAGTTTCAAAATTTCTTTTTTTAACCATTTTTAAAATAAATATTGATATTTCAACTTGTTGCCAAATTGGGATAGAACCTAAACCTTGTTACTACCTTTTGTCCTTAAGAAAAAATAAAGAAACAAAAAAAAATTGTTTCTTTTTTACTCACAACTTTTGTTTTATCTAATATTCACATATTATTTCTTTAACTAAGAATTATTCAACTCCTTCAGAAACTAATCACACTATCAATTTGATGTTGTACAACTAGAAATATATAAAAAGTACATGTCTTGTTTATTTTTTCTATAGCTGACATAATCAATTAATCCATGACCTTAACTAATTATCTTTTAGAAGATCCAATATAACCAAATTCAAGATCAAATTAAGGTAAATAAAATTCTGTAGAAAAATTAAAAAAAAAGGAACATGCTTGAAAAAAAAAAATAGAAAATCAAAGAAATAATGAGAAGACTGGTGATTTCTTTATTCTTGTTTCTCTGGATTCTTAAATCTTTTAAAAGCCTTTGAAGAATATTTTCTTGTCGGTTTTCTTTTTAGAAAGATGTTCTTGCCATAAGCCTTTTAGGTAGATTTATTATATTTAATCACAAAAATAAACAGAAAAGATGTTTTGAAAAAAGAAAATAAAACAAGTAATAGTTGTTGCTTATTTTGCTGATTAGAAAATCAGTATTGTTAAGAAAAGTATATGAACTTTATTATAATAAAGATAAAATCTTTTGAGAATATCAGTTTTTTGGATTGGTAAAAGGATTAGCAGAAAGAGTATTTTAGTTCAATAATATTTAACAATTATTATTATTGTTGTTGTTGTTATTATTTAATATAATCTATATATTTTTTTAATATATTATATTAAATAAAAAAATTTGGTTTTCAAAAAATTATAATTTATACTATATATTACAAATATTTTATTTTAAGTTTTATAAAAATCTTAAATTTATTATTTCTTAAATCATAGGACATTTTTTTATAATGTTTAAAATTTATTAACTAAAAAGTTATTTTGTATTTATTTTTTTAAATTGTTAAAATATTTTTTAAAAAATTTATATAATATTAGTTTTAATTATAAATTATTTATTGATAATATTTATAAATTATTTATTTAATAAAAATATAAATTTTAATTATAAGCAAAATTTTTAATTTTTTAAAAAAATTTTTTAATAAAGTTAGTCTTAGATAAATTTAAAAATTTTTAAGTTAAAGTTTATATAATTTATAATTATTTTTGTAAAATTATTTGTAAAAAATAACTTTAATTATTATAATTTTAATGATTTAATTATAAAAATTTTTATTTATTATTTTTTTTTTTAAAGAAGCAGAAAGCTATTACATATTATTTTATTATTATTATTTTATACTTGCAGTACAAGATTTATAACTCAGTAGTGCAATATATATCTTTCTTAATTAGAAAGAGTTAAATACCAGGCTTAAAAAATAACACTTCCACCTAAGTTTCTTGATACTATTCAAGAATATAAGAAAAAGAAATTCA